TTAGATGTCAAGCTCGAGCTCGAGCTCGACCCGACCCTTTGGAATTAGGCAAATTTTAACCTTTTTGCTGTGCATTCTATTTTTTTTTTTGTTCAAATACAGTAATGCGCGGCGCAACATGGGTTAATAGGAGAGTCAATCAAGTGTCAGACAGCGGGCACAAAAATAAATTACAATATTTAGCACAGATATCGAATATATCATATAATATATATAAGTATATACATATATTATATTATTTATTTTTATGGGACGAATCAAGGCAAAAGCTTGCCTGAGCACAGTTAAACAGTTATGATAGGGGCGGAGCGGGGCGGGGCAGGCGCAGGGCCGCAAAGGATTCAGCTGCAAAACAAAAGCAAAAACCGCGAACCAACCAAAAGGAAAGAAAAGAGCGAAGCAACAGCTCAGATGGAAGCCAAACACATGTGCCCAGAGGCGAGCCGTGGCAAGCAGAGGCGGTGCGGGCCGGGCGGGGCGGGGCAGCGTATCAGTTGGCTATAACTGGCAACTGGCAACTGGAACTGGAACTGGGACTGGGGCAGCAGCTAAAATGCGAATCCTGCCCAGAATTTGCGCAACGATCATCGAATCAAAGGCGAAAAAAGAAAAACATGCGACGGCTGTTCTATGAGAATGTATGCCACAGATATTTGCACACACACACTCACACACACACACACAGGCACAGCTACAGATACAGATACATGTGCAAAGATACAGCTACATGGACAAAGATACAGATACGCAGACAAAAGCCTTGACAGGCAGCTATTGTGCAGAGAGTTTTTGGCTCCGAGCAATGCAAGATTTTCTATATGTATATAGATATATATATATATATCGGAATTTGTTGGCACGCATTGAAAGGAGCTGCTGATACATAGCCGGTCTACATGTATGTGTAGATATATATATGTATATATGTATATATACATGTGGCAGCGGCAGCGGCAACAACTATGAATCATGGTAACTGCTCGTGTTGTTGTTGTTGTTGTTGTTGTTGCAACACATAAGCAGAAGACGACGAAACAGCAGAAAGACATGAAAAAGGCAGCAAGGATTACGCACACACACACACATACAACAAAGAGAGCAGCACATGAGTGTGTGTGTGTGTCTACTGTCTTCGAGCTATCTACAAGATACACACACACACACACACACACACATTTGCAGCGCAAGCAAACAATATAAAGGTACACAATTTCTACCTGGGCAGCGACGTCGTCGTCGATCGAAATCTCTGCCTTGCCGAAAAATTAAAATTACAGATGGTTGTTGTTGTTGTTGTTGTTGCTGTTGCTGGATGAGCATATGTACAGGAAACCAGTTTGATGTTCAACAAACAAACCGCGTAAGAAAAACGCACAGCGAGAACAAACGCGGCAACAACAACAACAGCCAAAGGGCAGAAGCAGCGTCAGCAGCAAGTAGAAATTCACAGATACGAATACACTTAACAAAATTTGTGGCATTTGCACACGTAGCCTAATCAAAGAAGTGCTACTAGGGCAGGAGATAAACGAAAGGCGGAGACATCGAGACCCTTCGCTGAGGAAACCAAGCCAAATCTGTGCTATTTAAGCGATATAGATATAGATATAAAGATATAAAGATATATAGATATATGGCAACAGATTGGGCCAGCGCAGAGCGAAAGCCGTGGTTCAAGCCGCAGGATTTAACGGATTTATAAAGTTATGCTAGTTAGATTAGTTGCTGGTAAAACTGGATAAATGGATACAAGAGAACCGAGTCAAAGATAGGCTTCGAACCTCTATGCTAACTATTACTTAAAGATCCTAAATAAATGATTTATATAGATATGATAGTTCGATTAATTCTTGTTAGAGCGAAGTGAACTTCTTGGCAATGTTTCATTATCTCTTGCTCAAAGATCAAACCAAATCTGTGCTATTTGAAGGGTTTTTTTTCTAGATGAAAGTAAGCACTATTTGGTAGATTCTTTCGCGCAGTGTACAAACGACAACGACGACGTCGTATGTTATGATGACATAGCCATAGTCGGAGACGTTGCCGCTGCTGCCGTCGCTGCTGCGCAGGCGCGCAACTTCAACTTCAACTTCGGCGTCGCGTCGTTTGGCTGTTTGCGTTTGCGTATCTTTGAGATACACTCGCTGCTCGCAGCGTGCTTCGTGCTGCTGCTTCTGCTGCCGCTTGCTGTGGCGCGCACTTTTCGTTTGTCTCTTCTACTTTGTCTTTGCTGCGCCTGTGTGTGTGTGTGAATATATATACTTTTTTTTTGGCTATTTACTGCTGTTCCTGCACACACACATACACGCACACACACACACACACAGACAGGCAGCTGGCAACATGTGTGCGTGTTATGTTGCTGGCGTTGTCTTTGGTTTTCATGTTTTTTTCATTTCATTTCTTTCTTTCTTTTTTTTTTTTTGGCATTTGCCAGATACAGATACAAAGATACTTTGCTTGCTGCTTATGATTTGTTGCCGAGGCACTTAGATGTCGCCATAAAGCGCACGGCCAGTTACCAGAGAAGTACAAACAGATATATATATATATATATATACATATATATATATATATATGTATATGATCTAGAGCCTAGCTAGCAAACTAACTCAAGCTTTTGGCTGCAGCTGCCTTATGCCTCAAGTTGTTGTTGTCGTTGTGCCACAAGGAACCGAATTCGCCATATATAGGCACATATATATATATATATATAACTATCTATAAACGCACACACACACATGTGTGTGTGTATGTGTGCCTACACGTGCACATGTCTTTCTCTTGGACATAATCAACGGCGCGTCGCTAAAATTCGGCTTGCCACAATTTGCCTGCGTCTCGGCTTTCGTATGCGGCCACTTCTCTCGAGAAAAGAAAAAATAAAATAAAATAAAATAATATTTAAACACACGCACGTAGTTTCTTTGGAATTAGCAGCAGCAACAGCCGAAAAGCAAAAATAAATTTCAACAAAAATAATTAACAAAATTAACAAGAAGTTCAGCGCACGACGCGCAGCTGAGCGACTTTTAAATGCCCTCACTTTCTACATAAGTGTGCGCATATTCCTATATATATATATATGTACCTACATACCTACACATAGACATATATATACAACTATTTGAACTATATATAACCTATACATATATATACTATATCTCTACCAATGTACCATATCTACACCTATATATATATATAGAGCCAGTTATAACTATCTGAAAGCCCTTTAATAAATCTTAAAGTTTCGACTTGTTAAAAGTAAAACATAATTATTTTCTCTAGATTAACATGTTTCTCTTCCCTATATATATATATGTATATATATAATGTGGTTTTCAGGCACGAATCATAGGATATAGTCATATATATTTCCTTCAGAAATAAAAACCAAAAACTGTAAATAAAAATCATAGACAATATTTATAATAAACTGAAACAAAATAATATATAAGAAAATATACCGGAAATAAACAAATGAAATAAGGAAAATAATAAAGTTGTTCGATTTTTTTTTTTTTTGGTTTGAAACATTTTCAATAATTTATTTTGCTTTTTTTTTTATATAGATCTTGGTTTGGTACGCGTCTCCGTCTTTCTTCCGTGCTTCCGTTCTGCCTCTTCGCGCATTCCTTTTTAACTTTTTCTTTGTCTTTTTTTTTTTGTTTTGTTTTGCGCTCTTTTTAATTCTAATATCTAAATATATATATAGTTAAAAAATTGGTTGCGCTAGTTACACACACACACACACACACACACACACACAAACATAAAAAAAAAGATATATTTATATAAATTTAATAATAAGAAATTATGCATGTGTATAAACTATATAAAATTATGGGGCAAATTTTAAGGAAGTTTTTTGTTTTGTGCATAAAAAATTGGGTTTCAACATGAAAACATAAAGCTAATGGCAAATTTTGTATTTCTTTTTGTTTCGGTTATTTTTTTGTTTTGTTTTGAGTATTACTTTAAGGCAAAATTATACAAAAATGATCAATTTTGTAGCTTATAAAAAAATTAAAACGAAAAAATATATAAATATAAATGGATTATTTTTCGTTTATTTTTGTGGCTTACAAAAGAAATGCATAAATTAGAAATTAATAATAATAAATATATATATAATATACGCAATTTCCACACACACACATATATACATATATATATATATATAGTCAATAAATTTTCTATATATACATATATATATATACGTCTGTGTCTATATATGAGAATTGTAACTGTTAAGTGTAAATATTATCCCTGATATTTGCGTTTTTGTTTTGTTTTTCTCTTTTTGCTGACAATTTGGCGTTTTGTAGGCTAGTGTTACCTATGTATATGGATATGTATATATGTATATATATAGTATATAGCTATATATCAATTGGCATTACACATTTATATATGGCATTCGTGTGTTTATGGTTTACAGGCTGACAGAAAAACAACAACTTATTTAAATTAATTAAAAAAAAAATAAAAAAAAAAATGAACAATCAACTAAATTGTGCGCTAACAAATCTCCGTAGATCGATATACGATAGTTGCCTATAATGTTACAGTTATCATATACATATATATATATATATATATATATATATATAGAGAGAGAGAGAGAGAGATATATAGACATATAGATATATGGTTCTGCCCTGATTTGAGTTTTTGTGTTGCATTCTTTAAGCGTTTTTTCTTTTCGATTCTTTTCTTTACTTTTCTCTACTTGTCTTTGAGGTATGCGCGGCCTTAAAAACTAAATTATACAAACAAAAAAAAAAAAAAAAAAACTACAAAATACTAGGACAAGAAATAATACAATAATTAATTCATAATTAATAATAATAATACAATTTAACATAGATTTGTTTGTCATTAAATTAAATTTGCTGCTACAACAATTAGGAATTTCGAATACAAAAAATATATATCTATATATATATATATATATATATATATATATATATATAGTTGAATATTTCATAGTGTTTTTATTTTTTGTTTTGTGTTTCCTTCTCATATATGGCAAAAGTTCTGTTAATTACAGCTGTGCTGAGTGGGCGTGTCTGCAAAGGCTAAAGGCTTTGATTATGAAATAATGCAAAAACCAAAAAAAAAAAAAATAAAAAAAAAAACAGGCGAACAACAATTTATTGCTGCAAGTGCAATACAAATTTGTTACACAACACAAGTAAAATAAGAAAACTTTCAAAAATGTCACAAAATAAAAAACAAATTAATAACAATTTATTGCCGCTGGTGCAATCAAAAGTTGTTACCAAAAGTTTTGTGTTAGGATACGAAATGAAATGAAATAAGCCAATCAAAGCCTCGAGCATTTGCAGACAAGCCCCAGCCCTTGTAAGACCCAAGACCCACCCAAAGCCCCACATTCCCCGTACCCGCCCCTGCACTATATTTGTAGCTATGCCCTAGCCCGTGGCCCCCCTGCCTTCAATACATTTCAATGTCCTTCTCAATCATTTGAAACTCCTCCGAAAACTCTTCCTCATACTCGTGCTTAATATCAACAAATTCGTTCTTGATCAAATGATGCTCCCCGCTCAGCAACAGTTGCTGCTGCTGCTGCTGCTGTTGCTGCTGTGCATCATTATCGTCATCGTCATCGTCATCGTCGTCTAGCAAACTATCATCGTCAGCGGCCACATCGTCCAGCTTATTATTGTCTGTTTGCATGCAACTAATTATTGTTGTTGTTGTTATTGTTGTTGCTGCTGCTGCTGCTGCAGCTGCTGCGGCGGCTGTTGCTGCCGTCGCCGCTGCCGTAGCCTTTGCGGCGGCAACAGCTGCCGCCTTTTTGCCAACAACACGCGGGCGATTGTGCGTTTCGAGATGCTTGCGCAGATGATCCTTGCGACAGAAGCCCTTTTCGCATATATCGCACATGTGCTGCTTGAGGCCCGTGTGGATGGCCTCCACGTGACGCCGCAAGTCGGTCTTGTGATGGAATTGCTTGGGGCACAGCTCGCACTTGTGCGGCTTGTCTTGGGTGCGATGCCTGCCCAGGTGCGTGGTGTAGATCTCCTCGCACTGAAAGCGCTTGCCGCACTTCTGGCAACGATATGGATACTCACCGGAGTGGAAGCTCTTGTTGTGCTGTGTGAGATAACAGTTCTTGGTGAACTCCTTGTCGCATTCCAGGCACTTGATGCGACCCGATGGCAATGTTGTCGAGTGCGGCGATGTCGAACCGATGCTGCTGTTGCGACGCCTCTTGCTCGCCGGCTGTGTTGCTCCTATTCCAGATGCTGTTGTTGTTGACAGTGCGGCAGCAGCACGTCGCTTTTTGGGCAGCACGGCAACAGTTTGTTGCAGCTGCTGCTGCTGCTGTTGCTGCTGCTGCTGCTGCAACTGTTCGAGTTGTTGCTGCTCGAGCTGATGCTGCTGCTGTTCAAGTTGCTGCTGCTGCAGCTGATATTGCTCATATTCCTGCTGTTGCTGTTGCTGCTGCTGTTGTGCCATCAGCGACACCATGTCCAGTTCGAGGGCTGGTGTTGCACGCGAGCTGCTTACTGTGGGCGAATACGGTGTGGGCGTGGCCAGCAGCGTTAGAGTCGTATGCTGCTGGTGCTGTTGCTGATGTTGATGCTGCTGCTGTTGCTGTTGCGCCTCCTGCTGTGCCTGCAACGCATTGGTCAACGTATGCACCGGCGGCAAGTCGCCCTCCTGCGGCGAACGCTGTGCGGCCACCGAATAGGGCGATAGTGGAGCATAGGGCGCGAACAGCGAGGCGGGCATCAGCTGCAATATCTGATGGCCATCGCTGGTGTAGGCATCATAGGCGCCCGTCTCGTTACCAATAATAGTGTGATAGCTCATTGTGTGCTCCAGCACCGGCGGCAGTTGCTGATAGCATGGCAGGGTGTTGCTGCTGCTGTTGTTGCTGCTGCTGCTGCTGGAGATGTTGCTGCTGTTGCTGTTGGTGTGGTTGCTGCTGGTGATGTTGCTGCTGGTGATGTTGTTGTTGCTGCTGCTGCTGCTGCTGCTGGTGATGATGTGCGGCGGCGGCGGCTGCTGCTGCTGCTGCTGCGGCGGCGGAGGCGACGCTGTTGCTGCTGCTGAGCTGCTGATGATGTTGTTGCTGATGTTGCTGCTGCTGCTGCTGCTGCTGATGCTGTTGGGCGTATGGCTGCTGGCCGTACTGCTGCTGCTGTTGTTGTCCGCCAGCAACAGATGCTGCTGCTGCTGCTGCGGCGGCGACAGCGGCTGTGGTGCCAGGTAATGCTGCGCCTGCATAGTGGTGCATCCCATGTCCATATTGATGTGCGTGTGCATGGGCATGGGCGTGGGCGTGCGCGTGGTGGTGGGCGTGTGCGTGTGGATGGGCGTGTGCGTGAGGGTGGGCGTGTGCGTGGTGGTAATAGTGACCGGCAGCGACGGCTGCTGCTGCGTGCTGATGCTGCTGCACTGCAGCATATTGCTGTGCTGCTGCTGCATATCCAAAGCCAGCATGTTGTAGTCCATTGTTATAGGCGGCAGCAGCGCTGCCATAGGCGGCGGCGGCAGCAGCGGCTGGGTGCGCGAGAAATCCATTGCCTGCAACAGTTGGTGGTGGTGGTGGTGCTGCTGCTGCAGCAGCTCCTGCTGCTGGTCCAGCTCCAACTGCTGCTGCAGCGGCGGCGGCTGCAGCTGCTGCTGCTGCAGCGGCAGCTGTTGCTGGTGCTGGTGGTGGTAAATAGTAAGCGGCGAGTTGCTGTTGCTGCTGTTGTTGCTGCTGCTGCTGCTGTGATATGGCCGCGACAGCAGATAGCTGACCTGTTGCTGCTCCAGTGGGTGATGTTGCTGCTGCAACACGTGTTGCTGCTGCTGCTGCTGCTGCTGCTGGTGGTCCTCCTCCAGCTGGTGTTGCTGCTCCTCCATGACCATTGCTGAGTTGCTGTCCTCCATTTGTTCGATCTTTATAGTTGTGTCTGTGGCTATTGTTGTTGTTGTTGTTGATGTTGTTGTTGTGTTGTTGATTGTTGTTTTGTTCAGCAGGCCCCTCATTTGGGAGGACGGCATTTGTGTGTTGTTGTTGTTGTTGTTGATTGGGGCGGAGGGACCTGCTAGCCCGTTTGGGTGACCGTTCAAAACGGAGTTGTGATTGTTGCTGCTGCTGTTGCTGCTGCCGCTGTTGTTGTTGTTGTTGTTGTTGTTGCCGTTATTGCTGCTGCTGCTGCTGCTGCCGTTAGCATGCTGTGGTGAAGCGTTTGTCGTCGATTGCACTTGTTGCTGCTGCTGCTGCTGCATGTTGTAGTGCCCATGATAGTGGGCGTGACCATGCCCATTGCTTGCATAACCATTGCTGGCAACCAATTGATGCTGCTGCTGCTGGGCGGTGGGCGACGGCGAGGCCGAGTACTGCGACATGGCGGCGCCCACCTGCACGCCCGTCGCACCACAAACACCGCCGCCCCCATAATCGGGCGGACTTCTGGGCGGCTCCGGCGCTGGCGGCTCCTGTTGTGTGGCAGCCGCTGCTGCGGCGGCGGCTGCTGCTGCTGCTGCCGCTGCTGCGGCAGCATTGCCGCGTCGACTGGTCTTTGTGACGGGATCGCGTGCGGGATGATGATGGGCAGATATGGGCAGCGTGGCCGGATCGGGCTGGCCGCTCGACTTGACCGCATTCTTGTGCAGCGTCGTGTTATAATGCCGCTTCAGATGGCCCGAGCTGGTGAACCACTTGTTGCACGCGGTGCAATTGTAGGTCTTCGGGCGACGCGCCTCGTTCGACTTCCAGGTGGCCGCCTTGGCGGTCAGACTGTTGGCCGGCAGCACCGAACTGGAGCTGGGCGGTTCGAAGCCGCGATACGGCGGCGCCGCATTGCCAGACGCATTGCCGACACCGACGCCATCCTGTGGCCCGCCGCCACCCGTTGTGGTGCTGGGAAACTCGGCCGGACTGGTGGTCACTTCCGCGGCAGTCGGATCAAACGATTTGTCCACATAGTGCTGCGAGTCGGCATACTCGGATTTGATAAGCGCATATTCCTGCTTGATGCCGCCCGTCGCCGGATACGGTGATTGCTTCGGCGAGCCGTAATAATGCGGCGATTTGTCCAACAGCGGTTGCATGTACGCGGGCAGGCCTGCCTCCGCTGGCGGCGCCTGTTGCTCCCAGCTGTGCAGTGCGCGCTGCTGCATCGACTGCATCGAGTGCAGCGGATCTGGCAACGCCAACGGCAGCCCGGAGACAACGGCATCGTGTTGCTGCTGCTGCTGCTGCTGCAGCTGTTGATGCTGTTGTTGTTGTTGCTGCTGCTGTTGCTGCTGCAACAGTTGCTGATGATAGACCATCTTCTGGGAGTCCAAGTCGAGCAACTCGCCGCTGGCCGCCGCCGCCGCAGCTGCTGCTGCTGCAACCGCTGTCGGCGTCGGCATCGGCATCTCCTCCTTGATGTACGGCGAGCTGGCATAGCCGCTGCTGCCGTACGGCGACTCGCCGTGCACATTGGCGATATGCTCCTGCAGCTCGGACTCGTTGGTGTTGAGTATGCCGCATTTCTTGCACTGCAGCTTGCAGCCGCCTCCTGGCGAACTGGGCGTGGCGCTGCTCAGCTGCAGATGCGACGAGGTGGAGGTGGGGCTGCTGCTGCTAACCACGCGCGGACTCATCGCAGCGCCCGCTGCTGCCGCTGTTGTTGTCACTGATGCTGCCACCGCGGCAGCATCCTCGACGGCGGCAACTGTTGCTGCTGTGGCGGCAGCTGCTGCTGCTGCTGGCAGCACGGAGGTCGGCTGCTGCAAATACGGATGATAGCGCACGGCTTTTGTGTAGTCAATGTATGCGCTGCCATAGTCGACGACGCTCTGCTGCTGCTGCTGCTGCTGTTGTTGTTGCTGATAGAATTGCTCGTAGCTGTTAATGTAGCTGCTGGCGGCGTAGCTCTGCTGCTGCTGCTGTTGCTGCTGCATATCGCTGGCATAGATACTGCCATAGACCTGCTGCTGCTGCTGCGGCGGCGGTTGCTGCTGCTGCGCTGGGTACATGTGATGGGTCGCATAAGGCTGATGCGTTATGCCCGACGCCTGCTGTTGTTGCTGCTGCTGCTGCTGCTGTTGTTGTTGTTGCTGTTGCTGCTGTGCCTCGGCAGCCATAAGCGACTGTTGCTGTTGCTGCTGCTGCTGTGTTGTTGGCTGCGGCGTGCCCGGCTGATTATCACTGGAGTCAGCAGCGGCGCTGATTGTTGCATTGGCATTCGGCGTTGCGGGCGCGCTGCCGCCAGAGCCAGCAGCGGCGGCAGCAGCAACTGTTGTTGCTGCTGATGCTGTTGTTGCTGATGCTGCTGCTGTTGCTGCTGTGCTGCTGCCGCCGCCGCCGCCGCCGCTATCCGTTGCGCTGCTGCTGCTGCTGCTGGCGGCTAGCGCCTCTGCCGCGTGCAGTGGCGGCATTTCACTTTTTATGCTCGCCATGTAACGCTACATAAGTCGTCGGCGTTGGCGTCTGCGTCGGCGTTGGCGTCGCGCTGCTGCTCATGTGGCTCGCTTGTTAATTGTTGCTAGCTGTTGTTGTTCTTCTTCTTGTTGCTGGCTGCTGCTGCAGCTGCTCTTGTTTTATTTGTTGTTGTTTTGTTGTTGTTGTTCTTTTTATTCGTTGGCTGCTTTGCCGTTCGTTTGGTTTAGTTTTGCTTTTGTTTTTATGTATTTGGTATTTGTACTGCAAAAATGTTGATGTAATTTAATAATTAATTCTCATTTACATTTATTTTAACGTTTAATTAACTAACACACACACACACACACGTATATACACACATACAGCTTGCGCTCGCAGCTAACGGTTCGCCTCTTGGCATTTTTTTTTTTTGCATGTTCATAAGTTCACAAAACAAAAAGACGCTCACTCTCTTTGTTTTGTGCACGGGCGAGAGAGAGAGAGGAAAACGCGTGCATGCTGATCACTTCAGAGAGCACAACTCAACGCAGTCGCAGCTGCAGTTTTTCCTTATCACTGTTCATTAAAAAAAAAAAACAAAAATGAAAAAAAAAACAAATACAAGGCATGCCAAAGTTACATGTGCTGAGAGTTATTTAACATAATTTGTTGCGTTAACATTGCGCTCTCTTAGAAATGCAGCTGCAGCTGCGTTTGCTCTTCTTGCTGCGGTTGCTTTCACATTTCTTTGTGTTCATAGTGTTCGTATAGTTTTGCATTCACACACATGCACACACACACACACACACACTTGAAAAAAAAAAGTGTATATATGTATATATATATACAACTACATAACAATTATGAATTTGATTGGCAAAAACGACGACGACGACGACGATGATGATGATGATGATGATGATGTTGGTGGTGGTTAATGATCATCAACATTATGTCTGTCCATCGCCATCTTCGTCGCTGTTGATCTTGTTATTGCTTTTGCTTACTTATCTGCGCCTTCGCTTTGTGCAGTTATTGTGTTTAGCGGCTTGCTGCTCTCTCGTCTGCTTCTTCTTCTTCTTATTTAACTTCACAGAAACACAAAACAACTGAAGAATAATAACATAAAAAAAAAATAACCGAAACGAAGAACTGTTGGGATAAGTGTTTTTTTTTTTTTTTTTGCGTGTGTTCGAATTTAGAATTTTGATTTTGCGAGCGCGAAAACAATTTCGTTTCGCTTTCGCCTGCTGTTCGCCGGTTAGTTTTTTCGACCGTTTTCCTTTAGCCTTTGGATATTCATACTTTTTGGTTACATTAACATTATGTTCACACCAAGATCACTTTTTTTTTTTTTTTGCAATCGGTTTTGTAACAACAGAAAAAAATGTTTACGAACACAATGGAAAACAATACAAAACGCGGTTATTAATTGTTAAAACTTTTTTAGTGTTTTTCGTTTGGAATTTTCTCGTTTTTTTAGTTTTAGTTTTTTTTTTTTTTGTGTGTTTAAGTCCGAAATAGTTTTTGGGTATTTTGCCGAAAATGTTGCCAAAAATGTTGTTGATTTTTGCCGTATGTTGTATTTTTTATATTTTACATGTACAAAGAAAATGAAACAAAAAAGGGCGCTAAAAGCTAAAATAGCCGCTCCACTCCGTTCGCACGCTTCGTCGCTTATTCGCTCGTGTCCTTCTTTCTGCTACGGCGTTCCAAATACAAATGACGGAACGGAATTGTGTTTCCAAATACAAATGACCGACGTGCATGCGGCATTCTGGCGGCGGCAGCAGCAGCAGCCGAGGCAGCAGCGGCAGAAGCAAACACTTACGCACACACATATGCGCGCATAGAAGCAGCAGCGCAGTGGTCGCTGCCCGCGTCGCTGTCGCTGCTGGGCTTGCGTGCGTGTGTGTTTGTGAGCGAGTGTGTGTGTGCTATGTACAGCAACAAAGGCGACAGCAGAGCAGCAGCAGCAGCAGCAGCAACAGCATTTATGTGCCGTGCGTTTTGTGTTTTCGCTTGCGTCGCTGTCGCAGTCGCCGTCGCCGTCACCGCTTTTGCTATCTCTTTCTTGGGCTGCATTTGTTTTTGGTTTGCCAACGCTGGCTGTTTTTGCATTGTTGTTATTTTATATTTCATTTTGTATTTGTGCATTTGAATTGGTTTTTATTATTTATTTACTTTGCTTTTCGTATAAAAAGAAAAGACGCACAACTAAAAGCACTCAGCTCCATTTGGCCATTTCTTGGCGATGATGCGGCCCCAAACTGTTTTCAAGACCCGGCTTGGAGCAACTAACCCAATGTAACTCGGCTCGTAACACAGCTAGCCAAATGAAACAAATTGTTTTGGCTTTGTTTTGAATAGCTTTGCAATTGTTAAGTGATTTGATGCACGGATTCGCGACACATTGACGAAGAAATGCTCAGAAACAAAAAGAAAAGTTTCACAAAAGCGAAGAAAACAAACTTGAAACAGCTGCTCGGCTGGCATTTTGATCTGATTTTGATTGAATTGGTCATCATTTTCAGCATTTTATTGGGCCACATTCCTGCTCTATTAGCCAGCTTGACTCACAGACTCCATCGAATCGCACACGTTCGCCTCACACTACTAGCCTAGTTTCTGTTCTCGTAAAAACTTGTCAACGCTTTAAAATTAATAAACTCAACTTTTATGCACAGCATAAAAAATATACACACATATGTATATGTACATACACATACATATACACATAATACAAGCGTAAGGCCAGAGCGAAAAACTAAAAATAGCCGTGCGAAGGGTTCGAGTTCGAGTTGCGGGCGCGGTTGCGGGTGCGGGTTCGAGCTTAAGGTTTACTTCTTTGTTTTTTATTATTTTTTTTTTTTTCGTTGGGCTGGGACGCTTGAATATGCCCAAAAGTATTTAAAAATCTCGTAAGCCAAATGCCAGCTAATGGCGCTCAGATACAGATACAACAGCACACACACACACACACACACATACACACGCGCGCACATCTAGGGCTGCGGGGGCCATGAGGAAGAGTTGAGCGCAGAAGGCACGCCGAAAATTTACATACATGATTGTCATAAAAAATCAGCAAGCAAATTGTCAAATCCCTAAACTGACAATAAAACAATAAAGAAGACGACGCCGAAGACGACGAAGCACGATGAAGAGGAAGAGCCAATGTAGGGGGAACAGAAAACGAAAAAAGACCAAAAACAAAACAAAACGGGCCGCAACTTCGAAAATCTCTGCTTGCGTGTGTTTTGTGTACAGTGGGCAGAGACTAAGAGCAACTGCTGGGGCTCGAAGGATATTAAAAGGGAGTTTCCACTGTGTAATATAAAATTTAATATTAAATATCGTAAATGGTAATGGTAATGGTAAATATCGTAAATGGTAGTGGTAATGTGTAAAGATTCAAGTCGATTAATTGAAGCGTCGCATTTCTTAGCGAATCTTCACTGTAAATAATAAATAAATGAACAGCAAAGCAGCCGCGTGCAAGACAAGGCCAAAGGAGCAGCAGCAAGATAGAAGAAGCAGCACAAGAGCAATTACAATAACAGCGCGACAGCGTCTAACAGCAAAGAAGAAGAGCGAAAAGCTGCGTGCGCAGCATATGGGGTGGGTGATCTTAAGCCCGCTTAGACAGCTGATGCGGCAGTCGCTGCAGCCGGCTCAACTGTGCAGCGGGACTAGGCACTTTTATGGCGCATTTATGACACGCAACAGTTGTGAGAGCGCTGGCGCAGGCGCAGGCGCAGGTAGGGTCGTCGCCGCCTAACTCAACTCTAATTACAAGGTGCGTGTGTGCATGTTGTGTTGCGTCTGGGTAGAGGCAGAAGCAGAGGCCTTGCGTGACAGCGTCAATCACAGCTAGTCCTTAATGCGTGTCCAGTGTCCACCTCTAGCACTAGCCCATAGCGGGCTCTCCCTCTCTCATTTTCTGTGTGCACGAGTGTGTGTGTGTGTGTGTGTGTGTGTGTGGCAGTTAATGACTTTTTAATTGAGCGCGTACAGCTGTCATTGTCAGCGCCGTTACTTTTTAATTATGCGAGAGTGCGAGAGCGAGTGAGAGGGCGTCAGCGGGTGTGAGAACAAACAAACATAAGCTTAAGCCGACGCGTTGGCAGCTTCATCTTAAGTTAAAGCTTCGTCTTTGACTTCGGTTTTTGTCTCTTGGCTTCGGCTTCGGCTTCGGCTTATGTAACGCGAGCGCCACTCCGGCAAGTCGTTGGCGCCGCCGTCGACGTCGTCGCAACATATTGCGCTGCCTATGAGTCACGCTCGCATTGGCTCAGGGCCAAAGCCGTTGGCTCTCCTTCCCCATTCCACTCCCCCGTCGCTTTTTGCATGTATGGCGCTGCGGCGTTGCGGCTGCGCCGTTTGTTGTGGTTTCTCTGCGCGCCTGCGCCCGTTTGTTGTTGTTTTCTTTTCATATTATTATTTTTTTTTGTTTTTTTCCTAAAGCCGGCTTGGAGTTTGCTCTGCTGTTGTTGTTTTACTCTTTTATTGTTGGTGTTGGCATTTTGGTGTTGACTTTGTGGCAGCGTCATTTATACATACATACATACATATGCATGTACATATGTATAAATGTATGTGAATGTGTTAAAATATACATAAATATGTACATACATATGTAAAATATGAATATCCGCAGTTTCTTTTCGGGCTCGTCATATTGAGTCGCAATCGCTTTGCAGCCTCTTGATATTGTGTTAAAAGAGGTAAAAACAAAAAAAGGGAGGCTATTCAAGTAATTAGTGCAACATATTTGAGATACTCTTAAGACAGGCCCAAAAGTACTCTCTTAAATATTAATGTTAAATGTAGAACCACGTTAGAACAATGCTCTTTGTCGCCGCTGCCGCTTCTGCTGCTATTAACATGCTTTTAAGCTCAGCTTGCACTTCGTTGCAATTCCGCACGTTTCCTCTTGTTAGCAGTTAGCTGTTGGAAAGCTTTCGATGATTCTCGCATTTGCATGCATAAGTATGTGTGTTTGCTAACATGTGCGCATGTACTGTGTGTTTTCTATGTATGCATGTACCTGTGCGCTGAACATCTCATGTAAGATCTATTTACACTTCACACGCAGACATTTGTCAACTACCCAGCGAAAATTCTTGCTATGTATATGCCTCGTTTCAACACTGAGAGAAAAGTCCTACTTGGTCAAAAATTAGATAAGGTGTAATAAGAGAGCTTTGCTTTTAATTGAATTTTATATATAATTGGAACTACTTATTTTACTTTTTAAAGTTAAAAAATATTCAATATAAAAGGAGAGAGACTTGAATTCTCCTTGTTTTAGCACAGTGTATGGCTTGTTGTTTTTGGTGAATTGTTTTTGGCTCTGAGCTGATGTTTTCGTTTGCACAATCTTGTCTTTTGCTTTTTGTATTCCTCTCTTCCTTCTTTTCTCTTCTTCTTCCCCCTATTTCATGTGTGTGTGTGTGTGTGTGTGTGTTTTCACTGTTTTCTGTGGCTTTTTGTTTTCTTAACACTTCGGCGACGTTTCGGGCCTCATTTGCATATTTCTAGAGATTTGCTACGATTTCGCCTGGGATCAGTTTTGGCTTAAGAACTGATCCCAAGCGTAACAGATGACCAAAAACTGTAGAGTGGCTACGCGAGCCACTGCTGTTCCCAATGGCTGTGGCCAGCGGGTTGGGGGTGACAAGCAAGAAAACGCACGCACGCACTCATAAAAACACACACACACACACATACACGAATGCATGTGTGCATACAAAAGGAACTAAGCCAAACCAAAACAACAAAACGTACGACAAATGCTGCTCAATCATAATTGAAAGCAACAAAAACAACTGCAGACGAAAAACAACAAAGAAGAGAGACAGAAAAAACAGCAGATGCACAACGCACAAAAATGCCAACACACGCACGCAAACATACACAGTCTCACGCACACACACATACACGAAGGGCAGGAATTGAATTTTAAAGGAATTCAATTTGAAATGCAAACAATGCTGCAGCCACACGCAAGCATATACACACACACACACACAAACACACACAGACGCTAAACATGCCAACGCATTGCGCGCCAACTGCAACAAAATGGCAATGAAACGTCGGTGTGAGAGCAACAACTGCCAAATGAGCAAATGCACACGAACAAAGAGCGCTAGGGCGAACGTGTGAGCGTGAAAAAGTGGGGTGTCGTGTAAAATGGCTGGCAGATATTGTGCAGTCGCTGTCGCTGTCGCTGCCGCCACCGCCGTCGCTGTCGCTGTCGCAGTCGCTGTCTGCATTAACAGACTCTGCCCGCTGTTAGAGAGCCCGTTGTGCGTGTCTAATCTGCAGTGCTCGTTGTTGTTGCTCGCATTTTGCACATGCAATGCATGTGCAACACGTGTGACACA